CACTTGGTGGTGCTAGGGTCACCCCAACCACAGTCCATATTATGTGCTTTATCTCTTGCGCCATACCCCTTGGCTCCAGATCCCCTGCGTGGAATAACTGTCTGTTTTTGAAAAAAAAAGTCTGTACCTGGCTCTGTGCTCAATGGTCACACTGGCAGTGCTCCAGGGGAACATTTGTGGTGCTAGGATTCAAATCATGCTAGGCAAATCTTAGCCTTTTACTCTTTCTGGCTCAGAAGATGTTTTAAGTCTTGAGAGGGAATATCTTCTAAGTGTATCAAGTCTCTAGATGAAATGAATATTGAGGTAGTTATTTCTATAGGTCCAGTAGCTCCATTGTTAGCTGCTTAATAGTTAAGGCTTTTGGTCTGTTGTCAGAAGTATATAGGAATGGACACTGACAGCTAGTGTGACTTTTGTTGTTTGTTGTTGTTTGTTTTTGGGCCATACTTGGCAGTGCTCAGGCCTTAGCCCTGGCCCTGTACTCAGGGATCACTTCTGGTGAGGTTCGGGGCACATATGGGATGCTGGGGATTATACACGGGCTGGCCACATGCAAGGCCAATGTTGTACTCCCTCTCAAGCCCCAAAGGCTTGTGCTTCTGTTTATCCATTGCTTCAGTGGCATTGATGATTTTTTGGCCAGACCCAGCAGTACTGAGGTGACTCCTGGTGCAGTGCTCACATAGTATTTGTGGCCTATATGGTACTAGGGATACAGAAATAATACACTGTAGCCATTGAGTCATCTCCCAGGCCCAATGGCTGATAACTTTTATGGTTAGAGAAGGATGATTAATTCTTGGGGGGGAACAAGTTTGGCTGCCACACCTAGCGATGCTCAGGATGTTCTGTGGTCAGGAATGAGTCCTGTTGCTCAAGGGACCATATGGGATGCCAGGGTCAAAACTCAGTTGTGTATAAGGCAACTGCCTTAATCTCTGTACAAATAACAGATAACATCTGGCCTATATTATTTCTGTTTATGTTTGGCCATACCTAGCAAGATGCTAGTTCCAGCTTCGTGCGTGTTGCTCCTGACAAGTGCTCAGGGGAATGTATAGTGCTAGAGATCAAACCTGGGACTTTCTGCATGCAAAGCACGTGTTCAATCCATAGAACTACCTTTCAGTTCCCTGAGAAGGATTATTTTGCCTATTAAAAATTAATTGTGTGGGAGAAATGAAAATTTGGGTAATAGAAGTAGAACTGTTCGATTTCCTCCCACTTCTGGTGCTTGTATGAGTTATGTTAGATGCTAATATAATGACATAGAGGTCTGAAAACTAAGAACACGATTATCAACATACAGTAATGAAAATACAAGTGACGTAGCCTTTAAGTCTGATTGGCTATGTATGCCTTCCAAAAAGTGAAAGTTTGACCTATAATTTATTTAAGGCAGTGCCATGCTTTTCTCCCATCTCCCTTGAAGATACAGGACTATACAACAGGTAGCCAGAACCATTGTGAGGAGGCTCAGTTTCTCCCCTTCCATGAGGCTGTTGTCAGGCTCTTTGAACATGGGATGCTGTGGGGAAACCCGGAGAGCCCCTGGAGATGAGGGACACTGATATGCCTCATTTGGGTGCAGATGCTATCTAACTGTGAAAGCTATGTTTGCTGCTGTTGAGACAGATGTCCCATGGTGGCACAGCTGGGAACCCCAGAGCCTGGGGCATTCCTGCACCCTCACACACAATAAAGTGGGTTTTTCTTCAGGCCGAGAAGAGTTTGTGATGTGGAAGGAAGAAGCAGCATGAGTGAATCTTCCCATAATGGCAAACAGAGTTTGTGAGCCAGGGTGCTGGTCACCACTGCCAGGGGTTAAGTACTGACATTCCCTCTTTAGTCTCCTTAAGAAACAGAACCTGGCGTCCTTTCAGGTCATAGTGGTTTCATGTGGCTGAAGGGAAAAGGAACTGAAGCCTGCATTGAGGTTGAATGGGCTGGAGGGCTTGGGTGATCCAGGGTGGCCACACTCAAGAGGTCATGCTCAGAGTGACTGGTCATGGCGGCGTGTGGAGTTTGATGCAGGTAGGCTGAAGTTGAATGTAGTTAGAGGGAACTTCATTGCATCTTTTTTGGTCAGAAATTAGCATGGAGATTTTTATCTAGACTTGGAAATCAGATTTTGCAAAAACATTTTCTAGTTTAATTAGTAACAGTAATATTGTTGAAGGCTGATGAAGGAGTATGTGGGGTGCATAGTAGTTGGAAAATATATGGCTATTTTGCGAGTTTTTATAGGTTTGTTAAGATAATTTGTTTTTATGAGGTTAAGTCTTAGGACATAATGAACAGTTTCAGCATGAGGATTAATGTTTGAGAATGAGGCAGTGGTGGGGAGAAGGACAGTGTTAGAAAGACTCTAGGAAGGTGCTTCTGACTGATCAGTAGGGATTATTTTCACTAAAGTTACCCTGAGGGCATGAGGCTGAGACCTGCTTGGCTCAGACCTACCTGGCTCTTGCCACATCCTCCACATCCTCATCACTGATGCAGTGATGCCAGGGCCCAATAGTGGGTGCAGGGGTGACGATTCAGCTGGAGGGGACAGAGAGGGTCAGATGAAGGGTAGGTTCAGGTGGAGGAGACGATTGAGGGGGCAGCGGTGAATGGAGGACAGTTGAGGGGGCAGTGGTGAATGCTCCTAAGTCTCTTGCAGTGGTGTTTGGGAGTGTCTTCTTAGGCCTGATTTGCTGTTTGGTGATGGTTGACGGAACCAGAGCATGCAGGATCCAGGGCCCAGCATGACCAAGGAGCATATGTGAAGACATGCAGATATGCTGAGTATGTCATTGGATCGTCCTTATTGTAAGGGCTTGGTGCCTTGAAGTGGAGAAAGCTGTGGTTTCAGGACATTGCTCAGTTGGTGTAATGAGGGTAATGACACTGAGGGGTTCTATTAGGGTGGCCAGTGTGCCCAGCATGGTTCCATGGATGGGCTGGTATCCTGGCATGCAGGGATGTATGGGGTGGGGGGCTGAGGCAGTTCATGTCTGTAAAGCACTCCTTTGCTCAGTGTTGCTCTCTGCCAGCACCTGGAGATGCCTTAAGAACCCAAGGAGCAGTGAGGAATAGCTTTAAGCCAGATTGTGGACTGGCTTGGGGTGCATAGTGCACCCAGGCACACACCTCATGTTGTGTGCATGAGAAAAGCCTGAGTGCTCCTATGGAAATACCTCTACAATGAGTAGGCCTAAAATGTGTCAGTCAGTAGCCATCAGACAGGAATGACCCTGAACCCCTGGGAAGTGTGTAGGCCTAAGTAGCATAGCCCACAGGGGCTCAATGAGGAGCAGAAGGCTCTGCATAGCAGCTAGGCACTCTTTATATGAGAACACAAGTAAAGCAATTATTGTAAGCAAAAGTTTTTATTCCTTTAATATATAAAACCAAGAAAACTTTAATATGTGATATGACATATTTTGGTTTTGTTCTTTTAAAGAAGAAAATGACAAAAGTATAGACTTGGGTAGAAAAATACACTCCAGCAGCTGTTTAAGCAGTTGACAACTCCTAAAATGATGAAGAGCACACAAATCTCAGAATAAAGCCTCTTTTTTGTCTTTAAAAATATTCACATTTGCTGAACTTAAGAAAGGCATGGTAAGAAATATAACTTTTCTTCTTGGCAACAAGATAAATCAATGACCAGCAATAACTTAGTAACTTAGCAAGAGGGTTCCGGTTCTTAATACTGTGGTATAAAAAAACACTTCCCACTGCTGGTGCCAGAGGAGGACTAGTGTGTTTCATCGGTGCCCCCTGGGGTGAGGATATAGACTCTTATCCAGAACCTCAGGGAAAAGGGGAACATCTGTGTTCCTTCCCTTGTGGGAGACAAAATGAACAGTGTTTGTGGTGTACATATAACAAAACCAAGCACGGGCGCAGGAAACCACAGAGACTCCTTAAAATAACTGCCGTTCAATAAATAGTTTCCAAAAGAAAATCTATTTGCTTTTCACTTAATGAACTCGGGAAAAGTGGTAGCAGTCTTGTCAGTCTGACATGCATCAGCTCAGTACAGTTCTGCCACTGGCCAGCGGGGGGCACGGGGTGGGGGCAGTGGCCGGAGCAGCCCAGCAACCCAGCGACCCTGTTCCAGACAGCGCGAGGTGGTCAAGCTGCGGCTCCAGAAGCCCAGGTAACGTTTCCTCCTCCACAGCAGACCCCCAAGTGCGATCCGCATACAATTTAACCAGTCAAACATGATGGGACATTTAAAATCACTGCAACGTAAAAGGTCTAAAGCATCAAAGGGCGGCGACCTCGGGGGTTCTGCGAGCGCGTCCAGCCCGCTGGGGAAGAACAGAGCGAGCCGTGTCCGCCCGGCCCGACTCGCACGCCTGTCCTCTGTGTCCAGCTGCCGTGGCTGCGTCTCCCGAGGAGCCAGCCTGTGGCCAGCCCTGGCGCCCCTCGGGGGCTGCTGGTCAGTTCGGGTCAGGAGCCCGTTACTGAAAAAAGTAGTCTTAAAGCTTCATTTAAAAGGAGCGTGTAAAACCCTTTCTGTGTTTCTGCACGTGAGCAGGCCTGCGGGCGCCGAGTCTCAAACGAGGGTCATTGTCCTGTCCACCAGCGGCCACCAGGGGGCAAGCGGCGCCGGCGCGGCCGCCAGGGGGCGCTACAGCGTGCCGGCCGGGCCGTGCTCCAGGCTGTGGCGCGGGTGTGCGGGCGAGGAGCTGAGCAGGTGCGGCACACGGCCCTCGGGGCCGCCAGGGGGCGCTGGAGCGCGACGGCCGGGCCGAGCAGCCACTGCACGCGGCCGCCGCCCTCAGGGCCGCCAGGGGGCGCTACAGCGTGCCAGGCGGGCCGAGCCCCAGGCTGTGGCGCGGTCCCGCAGGGAGCTGAGCAGGCGCGGCACGCGGCCGCCAGGGGGCGCTACAGCCCGGGCCGGGCCATGCTCGCTCCTCCACGCCCCCGGCGGGCCGCTAGAGCGGGGCCGCTAGAGCGTGACGGCCGGGCCGCGCTCCTCCTCGCCCCCCGGCCGGCCGCTAGAGCGTGACGGCCGGGCCGTGCTCCTCCACGCCCCCCGGCGGCGGCAGCGCCAGGCTGTGGCGCGGGTCGGCGCGCAGGGAGCTGAGCAGCCGCTGCACGCTGACGTCGCGGCCCAGGCCCAGGCCCAGGCCGTTGAGCGCCGAGCCGGGCCGCGGCTCCAGCGCGCCCTCCAGCACCACGTCGGGCTCGTCGTCGCTCTCCAGGTCGTCGGGCGGCGCGGTGGGCGGCGCGGGCAGGCTCAGGCGGCTGGCGGCGCTGTCCGAGGAGCGGCCCGAGCTGCCCGAGGCGCGCGCGCGCACCACGTTGTTGCGCTGGTTGGCCGGCTTGACGGTGACGATGAGGTTGTGGCTGTTGGCGATCATCATGTCCGTGACCTGGTCCAGCGTCTTCCCGGCCACCTCGATGCCGTTCACCTCCAGCACCTCGTCGTCCACGGCCAGCAGCCCGGTGCTCTCGGCCAGCCCGCCGGGCACCATGCGCGAGATGAAGATGCCCGGCACCTTCTCCAGCCCCTGCGGCGCCACGCGCACGCTCGTGCCGTCGCGGATGTAGAAGCCCAGCGGCCGCTGGCAGCCGTGCCGGTAGAGCCGCACGCGCCGGTGCGTCTCGGGCACGAGGTCCACGTCGATGATGGACGACACGGGCCGGAAGTCGCGCGGCAGCCCGATGTGCAGGTGCCGGCGCGGCGCGTCCTCGCGCAGGGCCAGCGCGCGCCGCCGCCGCGACAGCGAGCCGGGCGCGAAGCCGCCGCCGCCGCCCACGACGCCGCCGCCGCTCTCGGCCTCCTCTGCAACGGGAGGGAGGGGGGGGAAGAGTCAGCGCCCGCGCACCCACGCGCGCGAGTGGCCCGAGCCCCGGAATGGCAGGGCGCGGCTCCAGAGTGGCCCCTGGAAGCCCTCCCTCTAGCATCTTTTTGAAAAACGTTGGCGGGCAAAGCCAACGTAGAACGTTGGCTGGCTGAAGAAAGATGATTCAACTGAAATTTCTTTATCCGCTAAAACTGTCCTCAAAAAGTGAGGGGGCCATAGCACAGCGGGTAGGGCATTTGCCTTGCACGCGGCCGACCCGGGTCCGATTCCCAGCATCCCATCCTATGGTCCCCCGAGCACCACCAGGAGCAACTCCTGAGTGCATGAGCCAGGAGTAACCCCTGTGCATAACTGGGTGTGACCCCCCCAAAAAAGTGAGGGAGAAATCAAGACATTCCTAGATAAACAAAAGCTGTTTCTCACCATTAGACCTGTCCTGCAGAGTACTAACAGGAGCCTCAACTGAAAAGGCCTCAAAGAGAGACCATGGGTGAGGGGAAGCTAGTCCTGCCCTAGTCTGCAACTAGCTTTCTTGCTTTCCACATGATACAAATGGGAAAACCCATTATCAGTATTATAAACTTAGCCAGTAACGTCAAATCTGTTCTCTACATTGAGATCAAGTGCAAGCCGCCAGTAGGTGGCTCAGTTGCTAAAGCACGTGCATTTATGTATGAGTTTGGTCCCTTGAAACATTTCTCTGACCCAAGCATTGCCAGGTGTGGCCCCCCACAACAATAAAATCTTGAAAGAGATGAGGCAGTGGAAAGAATTATTGGTTCATAGTTTTGGGCAAAGATGTGATTCTGTATTATTGACAGATAAGGTAGAAAAGGTTTTTTGGTTACTGAATTAAATTGTGTAGGTCCCAAGGCAACAATAAAAAATAGCTTATATAGGGGCTGGAGCTATAGTACAGTGGGTAGGGCGTTTGCTTTGCACGAGGCCAACTCAGGTTCGATTCCCAGCATCCCATATGGTCCCCTGAGCACTGCCAGGAGTAATTCCTGAGTGCAGAGCCACGAGTAACCCCTGTGCATCACCGCGTGTGACCCCCCCCCCCCAAAAAAAAGCTTTTACACAAAAGAGAAGAGGAATTTAAACATTGGTTTTACTACAAATGATCAACTGAACAAAACAGGAATGAAGATAATGAGGGAATAAAAAGTTCAAAGAGGGGCTGGAGAGATAGCACAGCAGGTAGGGTGTTTGCCTTGCACGCGGCTGACCCGGGTTCGATTCCCAGCATCCCATATGGTCCCCTGAGCACCGCCAGGAGTAACTCCTGAGTGCAGAGCCAGGAGTAATCCCTGTGCATCGCCAGGTGAGACCCAAAAAGAAAAAAAAAAGTTAAAAGAAATAGAGTGAAATGAGCAGCAAAAGTCACTGCTTGGGAACGTAAATGTGTAGGTCAAACTCCAGTAAAAAGACTGAATGAAGGGGCTAGCACAATAGTGCAGTAGGTAGGGTTGGTCTTGAACATGGCCGACCTGGGTTCCATACCTGGCGTCCTATTTGGTCACCTGAGTACCTCTTGGTAGGCCCCCCACCACCAAAAGGAAAAAGCTCCTTATGAAAACAAAGGTCCTACCCCACCTTTTTTTCCTTTTTGGTCACAACAGCAATGCACAGGAATTACTCCTGACTAATTGCTCCTGGTGGTGCTCAGGGGGACCATATAGGATGTCGAGGATTGAACCCGGGTGAGCTGATGCAAGGCAAACACCCTCCCTGCTCTACTATCACTCTGGCCTCCGCCCCACTATACCCTTTATAAAGAAACTCAAGGAGGGAAGGGCCAGATCAGGAAGAAGCAGAGAGGAAGGGACCAAATAACGGAAAAATAAAGGGGGTGGGGGGCCTGGATAATTCAAGCCCCACCTCGATTAGTTTCTCCTATGCAATTTGATTGGCTGGTCCCATAAACCAATGAGATAGAAATAACTAATGGGAAGTGATGCCAGGCAACTCAAAGGGAGGAATAACAGTGGTAGCAGTTGGGAATTCAGTTAGTCTATAAGCAGTCTTATTGGGCATTAGTGGCAAGACTGGTGAGCAACCAATCAGCAGAAACACAAAGTGTTTCTGGGGAGAAAAGTGGAGAGAATGTACATAAGCCCAGGTCAGCAGACAAGGGAGCTGGAGGCTGCGAGGCTGACCATTTGTTCCCACCAACGAAAGCTGTTAAATTAAAAAGCTGTAACAGTGAGGCACTCCCGTGGTCAGGCATGTAAAGTCTTACATGAACTTGGATCCTGATCCCAACCTGCTTTAACAAAGGTCAGTGGGTTTAAAGTAAAAAAAATGGAAAAGGACATTCCATATCATGCAGACTGCTACCCAGGTCAATGGGGTGGCCACATAATATCAGACAAAACAGACACCTAATGAAAAAAGCAGTGAGAGAGAAAGAATGACCATATATATTAATAAAAATTCCAATATAATAATTAGGAACATTTATGTACCAACAAACATGAAATCAAAATTGACCCATCTACAATTAAAGTTGTAAACTTTAATACCGACTCCCAATAAAGAATAATCACCAGGGGCCAGAGAGGTGGTAAAATAGATAACCTCTCAGTATCTGTATTGCAGACCATAATGCCCCAAAGCAGAGAGAGAGAATGGGGAATATTGTCTGCCATGGAAACAGTGGGAGCGTGGGAAAGGGGGGGATACTGGGGATATGCACTGGTGGAAGGATGGGTGTTTGATTGTAACCCAAACATGAAAGCTTGTAACTATCTTATGGTGATTCAATAAAGTTAAAAAAAAAAAGTAAGGCACAATGGCCTTGCATGTGGCTGCGTTTGATCCCTGGCACTACACATGGTCCTACAAGCACAGTGGGTATACAGCTACCAACCCCCCCACCCCCGTAAAGGAACAGAACTGATAAACAGATGATAGGAATTGGGTTGAACACACTAAACAACTAGATGTAACAAACGACAAGCCTCTTAAGTGATGAGACACAAAATGGATGCAAGAGATCAACACAAAGGGCAGGGAGAGCACAGTGGGTTCAGCCCTGATATGGGTGCCAGTCCCGAGCTTGACCCCTAGCATCTCACAGCCCGCTGAACTGCCTGGCTGAACAGTTCTGTCTTACCAGAACCAAGTTCTGAACTGTCAGGCCCTGAAGCCAAGCCGGTTATTGCTCAGTGTGGTCCTTAGGCCTCCTGAGCAAGGTTTGGGTCCCCAAGCCCGCCCCTTGCCCAAATATTAGCATAAAACTCAAATTATGAAACCAAAGTTTAAAACAGGCAATGGATCTAAGAAATCATAGAGAAACTGGAAAACACTTGGAGATTAAAAAAGGAAAACCACCTATCAAAGCTGTAGAACACAGGGAAAGCAATGCCCAGGAGACAGCAAAAATGGCCCCCCCCAAGACCCCCCCAAAAACAAAACAAAGCAAAAAACAACCAGCTTACCACCAACAACCTACATTTCAAAAATCAAAAAAGTACAGGGGGCCAGGGATGTAGCTCAGCACCTAACTTGCGATTGTGAGGCCTGGATCAAAAATCATACCCCTCACCCCACTAAACCTAGGAAGAAATTCAAGCCCAGGGAGAGAGGAAAAGTGTAAGAGTCAAGACTCTATGACATGGGTCCGGTCCTGTCCTGCCCTGCCCTGCGCTGCCCTGTCCTGTGCAGACTGCTCACACCTGGTCCCTTGCCTGCCTGACTCCAGCCATGCACGTGGTCTCCTAGCCCCCTCTGCTGGCGATGCCTCTTCACTCCTGCCATGTACACTGGGTGCTCCTTTCCTAGGAATCCACCCCTAACGCCCAGGGTGCTTCTTGTACCAGGCACATCCTCTTCGAAGGCTGCTGCTCTCACTCTGCTGTGCCACAGTGAGAGAGAAAGGTGAAGGGTGCACGTTCATTCATTGATGTCGGTGGCACAGCTCGGCCAGTGTCTGTACTGTGGTTTTCACGGGGTTCACTAACCTCCAGGAAGCTGACCAAACACACGAGAATTTCATTCCCACTTGCTGCTGAGTGATGAAGCATGTGAACCAATTCTCTCCTGCTCTTTGCTTTATTTTATATTTACCAGGGGTGCCCCTCCAATAAATAAATTGGAGAAATAAATTAAGAAAATACTTGCCTTTAATAAATTCCAGCATCTTTATTTTCTGCTCTGGGGCTACTGGCAATGCACAGGAGATACACTCGACTCTGTGCTGGGGTGGGACCTCCAAGGTGAATGTTCTTGGGGGTTTATGCGGTGATCAGGGATCAAGCCTGGGCCTCTAGCATGCAAAGCATGAGTTCAGCCCTTTGAGTTTTTTTTTTGGACTCCAGTATTTTAACAGAAGGAATAAAAAAGAAGGGGTGGGAGGAAATCTGTATTTCTGGGATGACACAGGTAGACCTTGCCCCGAAAACTTGGAGACAGAACTCTAAAAGATGCCTAAACTTTTAGAACACTTGATAAAAGCACATTTGGTGCAGCTGATAGTTGAGCTGTGTTCTCTAGCCACAATGGAAATCTACACCCTCCAGTCGCTTCTCCTGGAAGGGAACATAAAATGAGCCCCATAACTATGCCGCTGGACTCCAGGCCAGGCTGTTTTCATTTGGGGCACCCCAGGAGTGAGAGCCCTCCCTGCCCCAAGGGACAGAGCCCTGGCAGCCGACCTCCACTACTCAACCGCTGCCATGCTCCAGGCCACTTTCCACACGCTTGGGCCGAGCCTCACGCATTAGTGAACATATTCCTGGACCATCCATCATGACATTCCCTACCCATTTTCCATAATTACCACACCATAGCTGATGGGGTTTAGACAGTAGCCAACAAATCATAGAGGGAAATATATATATGTGTATATATATACACATTTATATATATATACACACACACATATGTATTTTTGTATTTTGAGGTGCCTGGCAAGCTACCTAGAGTATCCCGCCCGCACGGCAGAGCCTGGCAAGCTACCTGTGGTGTATTCAAT